TTGATCTCTTTGCATAAGCTGACTTTTCGCCTACAAATTTATTTCTGATCATAGCCATCCATATTCCACATTCGTGAAATGCGAATTCGGAAGCGGGTTTCCTCAACCTTTTTTGACTTTTTTTTACAGTTGATCCTAGCTTTGAATCCGAGGAACTTGTTCAACTCTGCCTAAAACTGAGAAAAAAGACCCACCTGAGTGGTGTTCTACAAATGTACTTGTGCAGGACGAGATTGTTAAGCGGTCTGTGGCGCGTGGTGGGCGGGGGCGGGGGGGGACACCACAACAGTGGTTTTGCATTGCTTTGTAATTATAATTATATGGCATAATTGTTGAATTTTGTACAGTTCGTACATGTTTATCATGTGAGCGTGACCAAATAAACAACACATGAGGAAACTCGTTCAAATAATTACAAACACACTCTTCCCATGGCTTTATTTACCAGTACTGCCACACAGTAATGAGTCGTTATCACGTCTGATCAGCATGACAACATGAGAGCCAAGACGGTAGCTTAAGTAACACCATGAGGGACCATTCTAACTCGATTTCTTGCCTCATGAAGATCGGAACGACTTGCGCTTAGCGCTGGTCAAGCTGTTGAGGATGCGCCATGCCACTGACTCACATTGAAAACTGTAGAAGCAGTTGACGGTTTATATGATGGCACATTATGGTCATCTAGTGCTGTGATTGATTTCTATTGTTGGGAGAAGGAACTGCTTGTGGAAGATAAAATTTACTTATCATATTTCAATCTAACCATCCAAGTGCTCATTGAACGCGGGGAGACGTGCGTTTCTCCTCCTGGGGTCAGGTCACCACAGTTGCGCGATCATTGAAGCTTAAGGTTAAGTTTGGGTTTAGACTTAGGTTAAGGCTTATGCTTACACATTGGCTTATGCCTAAGCCTATGATTGGGCCTAGGCTTAGTCCTAAGCTTGCTCCGAGCGAATGAACGGCGTCTCAATTTTAGGTGACCTGACCCCAGGAGGAGAAACGCTACGCACCCTTGAACACGCAAGAGTAATGACACTACGCATAGTTAAAAAAGTGGATATGGTAGTGATCCATGAGCTCCGGGAGAAAATTTCTAATTTTGGCCGAAATGCTGTGCCAGGCAGCCAAACAACATGTCACACGCATTTCTTGTAAACTTCACTTTCAGTGCGAAATTAAAACATGGTCAGTGATGTGTTGAAAAGTAAAAAGAAATGTTCGTCGCTGTTTACTCTGAAAAAGAAAAGGCGTTCAACCATACAGCACTAATTATAGAGTCAAGAAGGCACAATAACAGGCGGAAAGGAGAGTCGACGTCATCTTCGTGGTCCTTGAAGCAAATTTACCCATCGTCTTTCGTATGACTTCACAGACAGAAATGATTTCTACAGGGCTAACTTATTTGAGGGGGGGAACATGCGGCGGCGCTGCGCTCTGTTTAAGGCTTAATCATGAGGGCCATTACTGTTTAGCCGCACCGTGGCAGGGAAAT